GAGTCCTTGAGTTGAGTAGTTCATGCTCATAATTCCACATGAACACTCTGACTTGAGCATTCTTTAAATGAGTAGTATCATTGAAGTTCTTGAGTTCCAAGTATTGAATTCTATCCATGGTTATTTAAAACCTTGAATTGAGTCGTTCACGCCCATAATTTGGTGTGAACCCTATTTTAAGAAGTCTTTTACAAATGCTTTAAACTTGTTTAAGATTTGAATTTTGAGTTGAGTAAAGAGTGGAGAGTGAAGTCCATTTCTTCAAAAGAGTATATGGGGACTGTTCCCAAAGAATACATGTTTTCACATTTAAATCAAGAAAGCAAACTGAGATTTCCAAAAGAGTCTTTGAGCTAGTTTTTCAGTAAAGAGTAAATGCTTTCATATTTAAGAAAGAGAGGAAACACTGATTTCCTAAAGAGCCTTTGGGCTAGTTTTTGAGCAATTATCTCAAACCACAGAAAGAATTATGTTTTTAAATATATGAGCTAGTTATATTTTGGGAGTAGTATTGAGAACCGATATGGGGGTGAGTTCAGACAACTCACAGCCCCCATAAACCGTGTAGCCATCATAGGTAGAAAAGGGTCATACTTTTTAGATGATTCCTTAGTGATTTTTAGCATAGACTAGTGGATCCACTTAGTAGTTGGGTTCTATACCTCGGGCAAGGTATAGGACGACTCTGAAAGCATGAGGCAAAACGCTGTATCATCACATAGCTCATAGTGATGGTTGTCGGTTAGAGAACCTCCCACAATTATATATTGTATTCTTATATACACAGAGTTTACTTTGTATTTTCATATACAAGCAGAGTTTATCTTGTATCCTTGCATAGAAACAGAGTTATTTTGTATTTTTCAATACATTGAGTTGCTTTATACTATTTTAAAAGCTTTCCATATATTGCATATGTATTGTTGCTTTATATTGAGTTGAGTATCCAGAGTTGAGTATACAAAGTTGAGTATCAAGAGTTGAGTACCTAGAGTCAAGTATCTTATTGTTGAGATTGAGCCTTATTTCACTGAGTTGAATATCTTATAATTGAGTTGAGCCTTATTTCACTAAGTTGAATATCTTATCATAGAGTTGAGCCCTATTTTATCCGAGTTGAGTTGAACTATGTTTATTTGAGTTGAGTTGAGAAGACGTAAGTATGTTTCTATTCCACTGGTTTAAGCTTATGTTATGCTTTAGAATTCCCCTTACATGCTCGTACATTCCATGTACTGAGCCATTTGGACTGCATCGTTTCATGATGCAGATACATGCATAGGTATTTGGGATCATCAACAGGAGCTTCGTTGATACCACATGGAGTTCAAGTTAAGTTATGGTGAGCCTCCTTGCTTCCGGAGGATTTCATTTACTTTTCAATTATATCAGTTGTTAGGATGTCGTGGGTATTGTCCCGACTTCCATCTTTGTCAGTTAGAGGCTTCGTAGATAGACAGTAGAGTTTCAGAAGTCTGTTAATTTATTTTGTTAAATATTTTAAAGACTTAAGTTGCCTATTTTATGGCGAGTTGAATATATTATTTTATTCAAAGTATCTATTCAATATTGTTCAAATCATCTTAAAGTTGAGTATTTGATTTTATTTCAGTTTTTAAGCTTTTACATGCTTAAGTTAGTCTTCCGCTTGTAGTCAGCCAGGAAGAGGGTTCACTTAGGGACCAACAATGGTTCTTGAGTGTCGGCCACGTCCAGGGTGTAGACTCGGGTCGTGACATAGAGCCATCAATACTAATATCTAACATGTACAAGCTCATGTGCATATCATTTTTTTATGAATGTGGGATGTATTTTTCCCCTCCCATTCATTTGATAGCTAATCACCAAGTCATTTGGCTCGCAAGTTAAATCACCGGCCTCAATTACGCTTGCAATCATATCATCATATGAACCATTGCGATGCAACACAATGAGCACTGTCGTCTTACTCAAAGATTTCTAATTCTTGCTTTTGGGAGTCTCCTTCCATACTCCCATATAATCACCACCAGCAACAACAAATTCAGCTACTGCCATTATAGACTACAAATATAGATATACTAGATTACAAAATCAGTCTTTAACGATCGATGAGGTACAAAATCCGTACAAAAACGCGGCTGAATGAGATTGGGTTCAAAATTCAGCTCCTGCAATAGAGAAATGTATTTTAATGCTTTTAAACTACCGAAATGTATCTACGAATGAGTTATCAAGTGATTATGGAAGATTTATCAAGCTTCTAAAATGACGGGAAAATAATTTTGGATATTGGTTTTGAAAGAAAACGGAGTAAGAATAAAAATGGAGTAAAAATGGAGTAGGAGATGATAATGATTTTACCTTTGAAATGGATAATATGGCCGAAAAAGTCACCGAAATCGGCAAAAACAACAGCAAAAATGAGCTGCTTGTTGGAGACTTTTTCTTTTTCTAATATAATATTAAATATTGGTAAAAGATATATTAACTCATTCCATATTTGTCGGAAAGAAGGGGAGGGGAACCAAAGTGGAGAGATGAAAACTTAGGAGGGTCTTTTGTATGTCCCAAGTAGGGCACATGGATGATGTCATAATTAGTGACTATACCACTAATTTTTCAAGACTTGTGACTTAATGTCACATTAAGTCTTTAGAGTGGATATTTTGCCAACTCTCCCCATATTTTAGTCATCCTTAAATTTCCACCTCTCTCTTTTACCCATATTGACTCTTCACTTTCCCTCCCCTATATCTAAACAAGCGTGCACACACATATACTTATCTATTAGAGTCCGGAGTCAAAAGGGCAAAAAAAATTGAGCAAAATTTTTGAAAGGGCAACAAAAAATAAGGTTGAAACCAAAAGGACAACATTTAGACAGAATGGTAACTTCGTGATATTTTAAGCAGGAAGGCGTAGTGTCCCATGTACCTTACACGACGCAAGGCGGCGCATGGAGCTTGCGCTTTGCTTTCTATTTTTTTTTTGTCAAAAGCTGTTCAACTAAGGCACATAGTTTGCCTTTTTTTTTTTTTTTTTTTTTTTTTACATTCCTTTAGATTTTACTTTAAAATTTTAAAGAAAATCAATAGAAATATTGTAGTGTTTTTGTTTAATATTTTCAAAAATTCTGAAACATATTTTAAAGAAAATAAGTAGAATTTTTTTTTTTGCATAATATGTACGGTTTTCTTTTTAAATGAATTGATTTTAAATTATTTTTTTAAATAATACTTCTCATTCCCTCTAGTTCATATTAAGTAAATTGCTGGAGTATGAAACCTCCTTAAGAAAAATATTTAAGGACATAAATCGAAATGCTACTTTCTACTATAACTCTTTTGATTATTTCCAAAATTATTCTCTTAGAAAATGTATTGTAGTTAAAAATCTTGTTATATGGATGGTAAATTCAATTATTACATAATAATCTATATTATTTTTAAAATTTTTTAAAAATAATTTGAAATGTAATGTAAAATATTTATAGAATATATTTATATTATTTAATATTTTCACTTGTATATTCATTTTACTTCAATTTATATTAGATTGTTATAACTTGAGAGATTAAAATTTCTTTTTACTATGACTCTCATATATTTCAGGTAAGTTATATGTTTTACTTTTTAGATTTTCGTATGTAAAAAATGTATATTTAATTTTCGAAACATGTGTGGATGGGCTGTTATAATGAATCATATTGTATCATACTGTTTAAATAAATACAATGTTTGAATATATTATATTATTCTTTATCATTATATAATATCACACATTAACATTTTGAATGGTTAACCTTCAATAAAAATAAGAATAAAATATTAAGGTAGTAGTACATATGATATAATAAAATTCAAGTTACAATCAAAATAAACATAATATTTAAACTAATAGTAATACAATATAATAAACAAGAACCATCCAAAAAGGTGTAAAATTGAATAACGTTCCTGCGCCTTAGTGACTGAAAGATGGTTAAATGTAAGACACAAAGAAATAAGAGCATGTTTAGATTGACTTATTTAAAGTGCTTTTTAAAGAGAAAGAGAAGAACTGGACGCATATGAACTTATGTGTATTGATTACTGTATTGGCCTTTATATAGCCAGTGTATTACATACAAGGCTGAGAATAAAATAACAACTTAGAGAAACCTACGTAATTACACTTCTAAAGATAAAAAGGCTGATAAGAAAAATAAAAAGAGTCCTATAAGTAAGAAAAGTTCTACAGGTAACAAAAGTCTTAGATGCTAGCCATTATTACGCCCCCGCAAGTTGGCGTTGCGGTTTACTACGCCCAACTTGGAAAATGGTTATCAAAAAGTGCACGTGGAAGAGGCTTTGTAAGAAGATCTGCAACTTGATCAGCAACATGTAAATGGGCAACTTCATGTTGTTTGCGCTCACACTACAAGAAATCTGTCATTTAGTGGCGACAAAAATCGCCACAATAACCCAAAATGCTGTCACAGATTACTTTTAATGGCGACTAGAGCACCGTGGCAAGTACTTCCATAACTAAAAGTATTTTGTGACGACCCTCAAAAGTTGCCACAAAATAATATATTTGTGGCGACACTTTCGCTGCAAAACCTGAAATAATACGCCACAAAAAAAAGTTCCACAAAGTAAGTGCTACATAAGTCGCCGCTGAAAATTGACTTTTAGTGGCAACTGAGGTCGCCACTATAATTTTTCACATGTAGTGGCATATCTTGTCGCCACTAAAAATGTCTTTAAGTGGCGACATAGATTGCCACAATAGAATTATTCATTTAGTGGCAACACTTATCGCGGCAATAGCATGATCTTTAGGGGCGACTATACTTGCCTCTAAACGTGTTATATATATTTAGTGGCAACTTTAATTGCCCCTAAAACTTATTTTCCCAATAATTGCAATATCCAATATTTTCATACATTTTTATGGTCACCTAATATCTAAATTTTAAGATACACGTACATTGCCTACCAATAAAGCATCCAATATTAATTAGTGAACACAAATAATTCTCAAGTTGAATGATAGCAGATACTTTCATAATAAAAAATATTGTATATTGTTTAACGTCAGTGTACACATATGTGATAAGAAAAAAGAACATTGTGGCCTTCAAACTCGTCCTTCCTCGACAGCATTTGTTTTCTAGAATCTTATCCCTGCAATTAAGAGTAAAAACATATGATTACTTTGACAATTTTCATAATCTAATATTAAAATAAAGAGGTAACCTTGGAGAAAAGATTGCAAATGCATTTTAAGAAAATAAAGAGACAATATTGATCAATGAAAGTTGTGCAACATAGTTTAGTCCTAGCATACTAAGCTCAAATCTTAAAAAATGCTAAGTGTATTTCCCTACAGGATAAAAGTGGAGCAACTAAATAACTAAAACCCAAGACCACAAACATGAGAACTTAAAAAAACTTAATTCAATAACAAAAAACATACCCAGTGAAATTCCACTAGTGGGGTCTAGAAAAGGTAATGTTTATGCAAACTTTACCCTTACCTCGAGAGGTAAAGATGTTGTTTCCCACAGAGAGTCGCATCATGAACCACATATTTGTCCAAAAAAGTTCATGCTCATATTTTAGATAGGTCTCATCACAAGTTTTTTAAAACACAACACAAGAAATTTCCAATCATATCAATATTTCTTGGGAAAATGGAACTGTAATAAATTCCTGGAGGAAATGTTAATACATCAGTTTTCTCCAGATGTAGAGGAAACATGCAAAATGAGCTTGGCCACTCCTTCAGTACAAGTAACTGGACTTTGGAGATCATCTTGAAGCTACACTGTTGACCCTTTTGGACAAACTATTTCATTGTCGACACAATTCATTTGGTACTACAGCTTAGTATTGTGGTAAACGAACTATGTTATTTTTCGGGGAAGGGTATGTAATGATATTGCCAAATGTTGTGATGCTTTTACTTTGGTATAAGATGTTGCCATATATTTAGCTATGTAAAATCATAATGTGCATACTCAAATGCAATAAATAAACCCATAACCATGTTCCTTTTAAGAAGTAATTTTTCTTTTAGCAAAACAAATTTCCTATTTAGTAGTATTATCATTCAGTAGTGGCACATCCAGGTCATCTAAAGTACCAAGCATTTGACCCTTTGACCTTTATTTTTATAATTTAGACAGATCTTGCAAGTTTCTAAAGTTGACATAGTTAACTTGGACTTGTACTGGCTTGATCCTAAACCTTTGATGAATTTTGTATTAACAGTTAACCTAGTATTTAATTCTAGTGTTCTTGTGGAAAACGTATTTAGAAAATGGAGTGCAGCTATAGGCACACAACGGACTGGAAATTGAAACTCCATACACTGACCTAACTAGTTTGGGATTAAGGCATAGTTCATATTGTACTTGTGAAAAAACAATAAGGAGGAAAAATGATACATAACATGGGAAAATTAACAGAAACTGGAAAGTCCTACACCGTATTAAATCGGTAACACCATTGCCGAGCTTCGATCACTACCCTTTTATTTATATAATTTTACCTCACATAAGTGCAGACTAAGAAGTATCAATCTTCTAACAGTTATGTTGCACATCCATCATCCAGCAAAGCAGAAAATTCTAAAAGAGGAAAGTATTGAAGCTCAACAAGTAATTCAATCTGAATTCGTCTTTTAAGGAATTCAAGCAGAATAGAGCTCGGCAACGGATAAAGTAAGTATACACAAACCTTACTCCAACCTCAAAGGTAGAGAGACTATTTCCCATAGACCCTAAAGAATATTAGTATCTATATCAGCCTAATAGAGATCAGTTCTCTCATATCACACCCATTATACCAAAGTTAGGTACACATAAGGTCTAGAAACATACTTGAATCCTTTCTACCAAATATTTAAGGCGTTCGAGCTATCCCAACAAGAACTATCACATTTAAATTTAAATTACTTCAGTCGAGCACTAACCAGTAGATTAGAAGTAGTTTTACAATAAGGGACCTTGGCTAGTAGCATTTCTTAAGCAATGAGTATGAAAAATTATCAAACTTCAAAGTGAGTTCCTTATATGATAAGGGGTCACGTATTTATAGTGAAAAATAAGACTCTACGTACCATACTTTATTTTTGGAAAATCAAGACAAATTCAGAAAATCGAAAGGATTCCCCTTTTTTTTGAAAAATTGAAAATCAGAGATTAACAAGCAACAAAATTAGGAATTCAAAAATTGGGGCTTTCCTTTTACCTAAAAAAAAGATTCAGCGGCTAGAGAATATGAACACGGTGGTAATGTTATAGAAACAAACATTTAAATCATTCAATTCCTGCTAATACATAAACAAATAATTAGTAAATAAGACAAGTTCTGCTATAAGTTCTAAACTTAGCAGCAAGAGCCTCGCAAAGCCGCAAAAAACAGAACCTCGCAAAGCCGCAAAAACATCAGAAGTTCGATCACAGGGACCTAATTATTGATCTTAAGCTAAAAAAAACTAGCATATAAGCTCAGGACCCATAAATAATGAGAAGTGGGAGGAAAAATAGGATATCGAGCCCACATACCAGTGTCGCATGATGTGGGAGACTTCTTACATTTCCAAATTTGGTTTCAACTAGAGGATCCTTCTACAGATCCTTAAGCTCCTTCAACATGCGCTTCAACGCCCATAAATTAGCTCGTATACCTTCAAATCAAAGCGCTAACCCAAATATATATTCAATTTTTTCATCAAAATCCACTAATCCCCAAATTCAAGTAAAGTAGAAAACGATTACAAACACAAATTAAGGTCGCAGAAATAAGAAATCTTAAGCATATAAAAACAGAAAATTATGAGATCTAAAGGATTGTTCATGCGAAAAATCCTAGATCTTTTAATTAACATTCATATGCAGAAGATGTGGTAGTGATTCAATATAGTGAAATTGGAGACTTGTATAGCTTGGATTAGGGTTTTGAGCCATTCCTAGGGAAGAAGTGGAAAATGTTGTCCGTAGTCATATTTTAGGGCGGGAGTTCTTAGCGAGGTTCTAGAATGTACACTAGAGTCGTAGACTCGTAAATGACTCTTTAAGATGAGATTTTTATTTTTTTTATTTTTGAGCTATTTAAAATAAAGTAAAATGAACTTACAAATTATGAGAAATTAATATTAAAATGATAAATAGTTTGTGATCATGTAAATTGTAAAATAGTTTAAGGTAAAATAGCAGTTTAGTAAAATAGTAAAGGTAAAGGGAGGTCAAAATTGGGTATCAATTAATAAATTTTAAAATAACTTTTTTCTATTTTGCCTATAAAATAAACTCTATTTGAAAGTATAAATATTGTAAAGTTCTTCCATCGTTAATCTTATTTTTGATGCATAAGACACATTAAAAAGAATTAAACAGTAAATTAGTAAAAATTATCATTCTTATTTATTTTTTCTCAGGAGTCGTGTAAAGTCAAAAATAAATAAATAATATGAAAACGGAGGGCAATATCATTGCTATCATCATTAATATTTATTTTTATATTTCAACAACATAACAATATAATATGTTGTTAAACTAGTCATTTGTATAGTTTATAGAATAAATGTTATTACACATAGGAAATTACTCCAAGTATGTATATATTTAAAACACATGCTTTATATAATTAATTTAGTCCAAATGTTTATTTATCACAATAACATCAATAATTATTTTATAAATTACACAATAAAAACTATTAATAAGAATTTTAATTTACATACTAAATTAAAATGAATATGAAAGAAAGAGAATTAGTGGCGACCAAAAAGGTTGTTGCAAAAAAACCTTTTAGTGGCAACAAAGTCGCCACAAAATAAATCTTTAGTAGCGACGGTTTCTACGTCGCCACAAAATACATTTTCTAACATTACTTCATTGAAAAAACAGTACATATTGTAGCAATTGAAGCAAAGTCGCCACTATATATATTATTTTCTGTGGCAATGATACAGGTCGCCACAAACACAATTACCTTTTGTGGCAACACTTAAGTGTCGCCACAAAAACCTTATATTTTGTTGCAACTACTTATGTCGCCAGAGAAACTTGTCGCAGAAAATCACATTTCTTGTAGTGTCAACCTGCTCAAGGACAAAATGGAAGTCAATGGCCATATGCTTCATCCGGCTATGGAAAATAGGATTCGCACAAATATAAGTGGTGCTGATATTGTCACAGAGAACTCTTGGAACAACGGTCAAAGGAAACTGAAGCTCTTGAAGAAGATGGGTGATCCAGTTAGTTTCATAAATAGTAGCAGCAACTGCCCGATATTTTGCCTCTGTAGATGAACGAGAAACTGAATGCTGCTTCTTTGAAGACCATGAAATATGAGAACTACCAAGATAGATAACATAACCAGTGGTCGATGTGCGATCATGAGGATCCCCTGCCCAGTCTGAGTCAGAGTACACGAGCAACCTACGATCAGTTTCATTGGCAATCAGCACACCAAAAGAGGTAGTTGAATGGATATAGCAGAGAAGTCGTTTAAGAGCAACCCAATGAGACATAAATGGTTGATGCATAGCTTGGGACAACTTGCTGATAGCAAACGCTATGTCCAGACGCGTGAATGAAAGGTAATGAAGTTTACCAATAATGCACTGATATAAGGAACCATCAACTAGATGATCATCATGCGATGGATCAAAAACTATAGTAGATGCCATAGGTGTGGAAACACCTTTGCAGTTATCCATAGCTACCTCATGTAGGAGATCCATAGTGTACTTCTCTTGAGAGAGCAGAAGACCAGTTCAAGAACGAATCACCTCAATACCAAGAAAGTAATGAAGAGGTCCTAAGTCCTTCAGTGAAAAACGTTGAGAAAGAGCCTCAATGATATAATGAACACCTCGTTGGTGATTACCAGTCACTAAGATATGATCCACATAAACTAAAATATACATAGTGAACCCAACTTTATACATAATGAATAGTGAGGAATCAGAATGCGACTTAAAAAAACCCAAAGTAAGGAGATAATTTTTAAGTTTGGTGTACCAAGAACGAGGAGCCTATTTAAGGCCATAAATTGCCTTCTGAAGATGACATACATGGGTAGGATTCCCAGAGATTTCAAATCCCGGTGGATGTTGCATATAAACTTCTTCAGTTAGACGACCCTGAAAGAAGGCATTGTTAACATCCAAATGATGGACATGCCAGTCAAATGGAGTAGCGATAGTTAGGACGAGACGGACAGTAGCAGGCTTGACTACTAGACTGAAAGTGGAATGATAATCTAGTCTGGGGCGATGTGTAAATCCCTTGGCAACCAAACAAGCCTTGTACCTATCAACAGAACCATCAGGTTTAGGTTTAACTTGGAATAACCACTTACAATCCACTACATTTTTGGAAGAGTGACATGGAACCAAATCCCAAGTATGGTTGCAAACAAGAGCATCAAATTCGGCTTGCATTGCTGAATTTCATTGGGGAATTAGCTTGGCTTGCTTATGAGTTATGGGGATTTTTGGAGACAATGTAGTGGTTGTGAGAAACTGACGAGGTTTAAGGCTATGAGTGTGTGATCTAGTAGTCATTGGGTGTACTTTGGTGGGTGGCTGGTTTGGCCGGGTTTGGGTTGGTGGGTCAGGTTGACTAAGAGTTGTTGTTGGTTGGGGTGGGAAGGAAGCCATATGTGGCTGATTTTGTGCCGAAGCAGATGGATTATGAGGAGGACATGGAGTTTGGCTAGGAATGGGTGGTCTTTCTCATCTATGATACGTGATAAGTGGTGGTGAGGGCAATGGTTGAAGTGCTGCAGAAGAGTTAGTTTTCTATTTGTTTGGAAAAGATGAAGAAGTGGAAGTTGAGTCATGCGAAGGAATATTACCTGATTGTATAGAGACACCATCTGGAGCAGAGGAGATAGCTTGCACACGTTGAGTGACCGTGGGTAACGTAGTTACGGGTGGGGGAAGTTGATAAGAAGAATGCAAAATTGAATTAGTTTCCTCTTTGGATTGTTGTTCAACAGAAATGTAATCCCAAGAAACATTAACTTTATTACGGAACCTGGAAAAAATATTTTGAAAAGGAAAATTGTCTTCCAAAAATATTACATCCCTGGATAAATATAATTTGGAGTTAACTGGATCAAAACACTAATGGCTATAATATTTGTTAGAAAATCCTAAATAAACACAAGGGGCAGATCGAGGTTCCAATTTATTTTTGGAATATGGTCTGAGCCATGGATAGCATAAGCAGCCGAAAACTTTGATGGAATCATATTTAGGCACAACCTGAAATAGGATTTCAAAAGGTGTTTTATTTTGTAGATTGGGAGTAGTCATCCTATTGATCAAATAAACAGCTTGATGACATGCATAACTCCAAAACGTTGAAGGTAAGGATGCTTGGTGTAGTAAGGTGCGGGTTGTCTCAATGACATGCCGATGTCGGTGTTCAACTAAGGCTATCCTTTGTGGCGTGTATGGGTGGAGACACTAAGTGTTCAATGCCATATGTTTTTAGATAGGACTCACCACCACCATCGGTGTAAAAGGATAAAATGTTTTCAAGCATGGGATGTAAAGTTTGAAAGATTTCTAGAACTTTAGTTTTAACTTTTAGTGTGAAAAACCACATATATCTTGAATATTGATCAACAAATAAAACATAGTATCATTTTTTGTCAATCGATAAAATTGGAGACGACCCCCACAAATCACTGTAAAGTAAATTTAACGGATTGGCACTGTGCAAAGAACTTTTAGAAAAAGGCATCCTGTGGCTTTTATTAGAATAACATGAATGACAAACAGTACTATTTTTTTAACCAACTATGGAATTGAAAAATCATGCAAAAACTTATTTAGAATTTGACGATTAGGGTGGCCTAATCGTTGATGCCACAGGTGGTAAGGAACAACGACGTTGCATTGTGGCGGACAATCAACATCCCCCGGTGGCCACTCATACAACCAATTTTTACTCCATCTGTGAGCCAATGGCGCCCCCGTAGTCAGATCCTTCACAAGGTAAGAAAAAGGAAAAAAATTCCATAGATGAGTTATTATCTTGACAAAATCTAGAGACATATATTAGATTATTTGTAATAGCTGGAGAGCAAAGGACATGTTGAAGCTGGAATTAGTGATTTGATGCATTAAAGTTCACATTACCAGTGTTAGAGATTGGAATGGTATTACCCTTACCCATGACGATCTCCTCCGAACCGTGGTAGTTTTGCGTAGTAATTAGACTTTGTGTGTCTGAGGCAATATGGTGGGTGACACCACTATCAACAATCCATGGAGCTGACTAGCTCTGGAGGTGTGCAATATAATCAGCACGCGCTTGAAGATGATTGTGAGAGCATATACGGCAGGCACGAGCAGTATGACCTCTAACATCACAAAGTTGGCAGTAGAGGTTGTTGTTGGAAGACTACTGTTGTTGGTTCTTGCACCGAGGTTGGTTATTGTTACGCCAATTACGTAACTGTCATCTATGAGGAATTAATATCAGATGATGCATGTTACGACATGATAATAGACGGTCATAATAATTTAAATGTGTACGAAAAACACAAAATAGCAATAAAGCATTACTTGAAGGTTCAAAATTGAAAAAAACATTATTGAGCTTACTCATAATAAATACATGTCTTCATCGTGCGACGTTATTGAAAGGCCTAGGAAAATTATAATACACCTAATAAAATTGTGCGAGAATCGCATATTATCCAACATTACCAACTCAGCTCATCATTTGAGTCTATTATGATAAGACAAAAGTCTAGGCATGAGAGATGTACAAGAGCAATGTAAAACCCATTAGATTTTTAATTTTAATTAGATTTCCAATTGCATGACTAAAGTGTCATCAATGAAAATTTACTGTGAAATGATGTATGTTACGACATGATAATTGACAGTCAATAATATTTATATGTGTACTTAAATTATAAAATATGAATACGCAACATGTGGGGGTTAAAAGTTAAAAACAACCTATCGAGCTTCCTAAGGATGATCATGTGTCTTCAGTAAGCGAGGGCATTAAAACCCCG